ATCAAATTTGAAGTAGGTTTGGAGATAGTGTTTGAGAGTAGTCTAACAAGTGTCTGTTTTTTTTCATCATTTTCGTCGTTTTTGTGTGTATATGCATGTTTTTCTCTTCTAGTGGTATATATTCACTCTGTATATATTATGGACATTCTGCTGAATAAAATCACGGCATCGGATTTTTAACCAATAAGAGATACTTTCGGTGACATTGAGAAAGATCTTTATTAAAATTTTCTCTTTTGATATTTCTACCTAGTGAATCGTGTGGCACTTTTGATACTGTTTCCTGTGTCAGCTCATCCTCCTCATTAAAAAATCATTACTTGATTGTTCCATGATTTTTATTTGTATGGAATTAATGCAGATTTTTTCGATGTCTCAAGTAATGACATCAATGATGGGATCGGTTCGATTTGAGGAAAATGAGAGCAGATTCTATATATATATATTGCCAATGTTATATCATAAGAATGGATTAAGTTATTTTTTCACTCGAAAAGAATGAAACACAAAGAATCTCAACTGAGATTCGAATCCAGGTAGTATCACAATTACTAACTACCCAAACACTTTAATCAACTAAGCTATCGAAACACAGTCTTAATTCAAATTCTACGTGAACATTTATTTCAGTCTCTTTCCGTGATGAATAATAGTCGTTCTACCATATTTTATTCGAATAATGAATAAAAAAAAAGTTCTGTAATATAAATTTATATATAATTACATATGATTGAATTCAACGGCAAAATACAGGCATATTTTCAAATCCTCGATTATCAAGGTCGATTCGAGTTAGTCTTTGTACAACGAAGTCTATATTCGTAATATTACTCGAAAAGATTAACATAAATGTTCACATTGAATTTGAGTTAAGATTGTGTGTCAATAACTTAGTTGATTAAAGCATCTAGCTAGTTACTAATTGTGATACTACTCGGGTTCGAATTTCAGTCGAGACTCATCGTGTTTTACTTCTTTCGAGTGATGAATAATAGCCGCTTTACCATCTTTTATTTGAATAATGAATAAAAAAGTTCTGTAATATACATTTATATATAATTATATACAGATTAAGTTATTATTCGATAAGATTAGTGACGACCTTATCCCCCCCCCCCCCCCCCCCGCTCCGTGCACATTTCTTCTAGTGTTCGAGTTTTTGTTTTAGTATAAATTTTTGAAACATGTTCTCAGTTTATATTTCAAATCATTACATTAATTCCAATGTGATTGGCAAAAATATAATAATCTATTAACTAGAAATATCTCTAAAAATAGTTTTGAAATCTGACTTTATATTGATTTAATACAGAATGTGTTGTTCTACAAAAATGTCTACTGTGTTCTTTAAACAAAATTTTCTGTTTTGTATAAAAATTGAAGAGTTGACATCGTCTTGATTGTGTTGAGGTAAAATGACAAAAGAAGTGATTATTTCTAATATGAATGCAGCTGAAATGTGAGTTATGTAACTACATGCTCTCATATTTTTTTTTGTTCTTGTTTCGCTCAGATTTGTTTGTCGACTGTCTCTTGGTACGGATGCTCGAGCAGTTTGTATTATTGAAAATACATGTAAAACTAGTTCATTCAGAAGTAGTTTCTATTGCCGATATTATGACAATAAATCATTCTTAGATAATATGTAAACTGGAAAGATTAATCTTCCATACTGCATTCGAAGAGATTCAGAGATTTTAAAATGCTATATCTATTTCTATGAAATCATAGAAGGAAAAGTATTGGAGTTTCAATAGAAACATGGTAGAGAGTTCTCTCTATTGATATAAAATATTCTATGTGTAGCATCGAACTTAATGACCACTAATCTACATAAATCAATAAAAATCTGGCGAAAAATACGAGGCCTTAGTACATGGAGAGAAAGAGATAAATTGATTAACTATTGACTGAGTTGTTAATTAATTAAATATTTTAGGTTGAGGAATGTATTTTCTAAAAACTGTCCGGTGTTTCATATGAACTAAATCTAACATTCATATGAAATATTGGAAAGTTTTTTAGAAATGTTTAACTAGGCTCGGTTCGATTCAATTTAAAAAAAAGAACATGAACCGATCCCATCTCTGAATGGCATTCACCTTGACTAATCTCACTGGATGTTTTCCTAACACCAAGGAATGTTTTCCTAGAACCCTCGTTTCTTTTCTCTTGTGACGTTTTTCTTTGTCGTGTGACCATCAATAAGAAGATAGACAATTCATTTGTCATAGATCAGAAAGTGTTAGAAAACAAAGAAGTATCGTATTATTCATTCGTTTGGCGACCGTTTATTTTTCTTCCTTCTATTAATGTAACGTTCGTCGGTTTTGTCTCGGTAGATTTTCTTCTTTGATATCCACGACTGAAAAGAAATTCAGAATAGAAAAAGAGAAAAGACGAGTATAGCAGCGAATTTGCGACCGTAGTAAGCAACTCAAAATTCCATGAATATAAAAAATTGGCGAAGTATAAACACTAGTATATAACGAGTGTTGAGTAGTTTAATCAATCTTTTTAGTCGTGTTCTCATTATTTTGTCGCTTTTTCCTTTCCTTCAACCATATTATTTATCTCATGTGTTGTTTCTTCCACGAGACAAGAACAAAATCGTAGTATCCATTCTTGTACTATTTTCTTCTTCTATATTATGTGCCATCGTCTTATACAAATTGTACACATTGTAGACATGACTGACTAATCGGTTTGAATGAAAATATATATCAATCGATGTTCTATTATTCTTTTATAGACAGTGATTTATCTTTATCAAATGAGTAGACTATCTGATTTTCGAACACTGTTGCTCACAATACAGGATCTTCTATCCGACAACGATCGACATCGCTTTTATGTTCTCCTTGGCGAAGACGTTCCCAAACATTTGCGTGATGATCCTTCACCTAGTGGAGCACTTCGCGTACTGGAATCTCTTTTTCAAAAGGCGATGATCAGTGATCAAAATTGTGATTACCTCATTGAAGCATTCAAGAAAATACATTGTAATGATGCTGCAAAACGACTTCAAGGTTTGTTCCTTCTGTTTTCTACTATGATGTACATTTAATGAGTTCTACAAATTTTGTTTTAGAATATCAACGAATACGGAATCCATACAGTCAACGAAGTTTCTCATCTAATTCTATTCGTTTACTCGACAACAACGAAGAGGATAAATTTTGCTTGTCTGGTTCGTGGGATCAATTCCGAACAGTATTATTTCATTCTTCTGTTAAATGATTTTGAGTAGCTAATTTAGTTTTGAATGAATTGTTTAGAAACTGAAACTTTTCTCTAAAATGAAACTTATTGAAACAAGTATCTTTCTATAGGAAGAATCTGGAAAAACAACTGATTGAAAATTACATATTTGTCTCAATGCTTAACAAATAATATCTATTTTTCTTCTTGAGTTTTATACTATCCTTGTAGTTTGTGAGTGGTGATCTAAAACATAATCTCTATAAGTGTCTTCGGCTTCGTGCTTCATGGGTATTTATATTTGAAAGTCTTACTCATAATATTACTATATTCCTAGGTGCTGGAATACCACATCAAACAAAGACGGTCGTTCGAGCGCGAGGTTTTGAAATAATTGAAATGGATACAACTGCCTCAACGGATGGATCGGGTACAAAGTCGACAAAGTAAAATCTGAACGGAGAAAGATTTGTACATACTTTCCTATATTGACATGACTCTTGCAAATGTATTTTATTGACTAACTTTTTTGAGATGTGTGATTGTATATTTATTTGAAGTGATAATATAACATATGATGCAAAAGTAATGGAACAAATGTCGGATCCTATTTCTCTTCAATAGAAAGGATATTGAAAGAAAAGTGTTTTACCAAAAGATGGACAGGTATTTTATTTTATTTTTTATTAGAATGAATCCATAAGAATAAGAATTAAGTAAACCGTACGAACACTGGTTTCATAATCTTGCATTCTTATCCGCTTATTTGCCGAATTCCTGTTCCGCAGTTCTGCGCACAACGCGCACTGATACACAGCTTTTCAGCCAATTCAGATAATAACCAGACATCCATGCGAGCACAGATAGAAAACAAATCTTTTAATTTCTGCACTAGCAACTGATCATCCGTCTCAGACAATTCATTTTCAGTAGTCACATGTTCTATCTGACGCCCCATGATAATGGATGCGAGTAGCAGCAACATTCCAGCTAGTTCAAGATACTTGAAAAGCATGATACTTTCCTGAAATAGCATCGAAACAATTAGAAAAGAAATATAATAATAGTGGATTACGTACCGTAAGATATTCGTTGATTTGAATGACTTTTCCCTTAGTTTGTCAATAGTGAGGTTCTGCTTTACTATCATAAGACTTTTATATAGTGGCGAGAAGAGAAATGTTTTATTGATTTTTTACTTAATTATCAAAGTTTAGTGCTTATAGAAAATAAAAACATGCAAAATTATGTTCCGAAGTTGAAAGTCAGAGGTTGATTTATCGGTTATTATCAACAAAAAGCAAGGTTATTCGTGATACAATATATCTAAGAAGTATAGAAAATTGTGCCAAATCGACTAAATACCCGAAAACGAACCCATGTCTTTCTCCCATATTTGCTGAGATATTATAAAAGTTGCTTAGTACTAGATATCTTGCACACCACTTTTTCGAGAGATCTACTTATTTATATATGCCTAGATAAAGCCTGTTGAGATTCGCAGTATTGGTGTATCTATTGCAGAGTAAATTTCAGAATTGTTTCTAGTTGACACAGAAAAAATATCAGTCCTAAATAACACAGCATGGATGCTTGCGGAAGAGGGGGGGGGGGGGGGAGGAAACCTCACGTCATTTTTGGACCTTGGTCTCCCAAATTCTTCCAGAAGAAAGCATTTGGAAATTTAGAGTCTATGACAACTTTTATTCTACTTACCGAGATCTATCTATCCTGAAAGTGTCAAACATTTTCGCCAAGTCGTTCTCAAGAAACCTTGGAAAGAGGATCCTCTTAAGGAAACCTATAGAGCTAGGAATACGTGTGATAAAAAGTCAATCTCTTTAATCGTGCATCCAACAAATGAAGCCGTCTTATGACTTCATGAATAACATCGTGACTGAGATTTACACAGAATAATATCTTCATAACTATTTGAATCTATGAGACTGTCGATGGATGGGTCGATATCAGAGACCGAAACAAACCAAAGTTTTCGGGTTCGGTTTGGTTCGACTAGAATTCAGCTGCATGGCTGTAAGTGTGATTAGAGAATGCTGCTATGGCTGCAGATGTAGATTTGGTTGTGTGAAGGTGTTAGCGTATGTGTAACTGAAGAAAATCATCACACCCATACCAACGCCCTGAATTGCTTCTATTCCTACAAATGGCTATCAGAAAATGCTTTTTTTCACATATTAATTATAACACAAAATGTTGGATGTTAATATATTAGCGTAGGAGCAACTAAGTAATTTGAAACCTTCAAAACAAACTACTCTCATGAAGAACTTTTACTCTGTCAAGTTTCAAGTTGCAATTCGAATGTCAATTTTCCATGTAACACCAACAAGAATCACAATGTTGTACTAAAAAATGTCGGAATAGTTAAATATCTCTGCAGAAATTAACCAGAGACATGAACTCTTTTCAATCTATTGAAAGTTCATCAGGATCTATATGGTATACATAGATTCCAGTGAAAAGCAAATTGACACCTGAGAATGTTCTCTCGTTAGTAGAAATCATCTTCGTCGTTTTTCTTCTGAATATCGTTAATAGATAGAAAATTAATAGTATAATTTATATTTATCTAATCATTTCCTAATCTTTTTTTTTTATAAAAAGTGTATTGTCAGTATCTTAAGGGTGTGGGTGAAGAGACAACCCATATCCACACCCTTCAATGGTTTGTGCTTGAAGTTTTAGGAATATTTTCTAATGCAACGTAATCATTCAACCACATATATTAACTATTAATAAGTCACTTCGATAATACTCAATTTATTCTTCAACTAGAAAGTATTGATGTGATTATTGTACAATGTTGATCTTCATTATCTTAGATAACATCTGTAATATGTTAAATAACAAGCTCTCTTCTCCTTCAAAACATATCATCATTTCTTTATGTTAAAAACATACACAAAAAAATCACACTCAACAATGAAAAAAAACAAAAATATATATTCTCCTCTTCCAACGCATCCTCCTCTCATGTATAACATACCAACCATGCTCTCCTACTCAGAGAGTGACTCATGTGAAGAGAGGCAGAGAAGAGGAGGAGGAAAAAAGAACAACAGAGAAGAGAAAAAAAAGAAGCAAAGAATGCAATGGAGAGTGTCTAGAAGCTCATCTAGAACATATATCATGGCCATCGGCCATGACAACATCATTTGTTTGTTTCAAGGATCGTTGCGTTTCATTCTTATCGTTCTATTACATTTGTTTTAATTGACTTTGTTATTCAATCGAAAAAAGCAGAGCGTTGTTTATTCTTTTGGAGTATTAATTTTTTTTTTATTCGTGTAAGGAATCAAAACATCGAATGAATCATTTGAATGAGTATGAATTTCTTCCTTCGTATTTGTAATGACTGAATGTCTAGTTGATTTTGTTGTGTTGACTCATTCAAGCAAATATATTGTTATCGCTTCAATCTTTGCATGTAAACGTCTATCGTTGAGAACTGGTCTCTTTCGATTCTATTCTCTCTCTGACACACATGTTGCGAGAGAAAGAATGAAGCAAAAAAAATGAAACTCTATCTTGTTTCTACATCAACATTTGCTTTTTCTGGCATTGGAAGCATATGTAATAGAGTGTACGAACATTCGTTGATAAAACTATGGTTGGTAACTTGCACGAGTCGAACAACAATGATCAATGCTTTATATTGGAATTCGACACAAGTAGTTTCAAATAAGCAAAATATATGTTCCATCGGTCTAGACGATTCTCAACAATTCGATAAAATAGACCTTTATTACTCATATTAAATCAAGTAGCGCAATGCACTATACACATTTGTAACAATGTATACATGTATCCCAAACGTTAATCGATGAACAACTTATAATTATTGTTTGAAATTTATTGGCTAAACCATTTTTCGAATCAAGGTCACTCAATTATTCTGAATCGAAAATCATCAATTTCATCATTGATAGACAAATTCTTTTATAAAAACTCCGAAGAAAATGAGTAAGCGGGTATGAGTGTGAGTAATATTCTTATCAGCACTGACACGGTTTCTTCCGATGTATTTATTTTAATTTCAAAGGGTGTGATGTAAATGGACTTTCTTTTAGGGTAGGGTAATTCAAGCTTCCTAGATTTAATTTTGAAGAAAAAAGACAGAAGAATGCCTAATATTGAATTTTCATTCACTTTTTTCAGATATATTTATTTGTCTAGAAATTATTTCAATTATTTATTCATTCAAGATGGCAATAAATACAGTAGGAGAACAATTTGAATATCGAATTTTACGATTGACTGATATTGCTAAAGAACCATTGAAGTTTTTAACACCTATTCGTGGATATGAACATAAGCCGCTTGTTTCTCTAGAACAAGCTGTCGAACCACTGACATCTCTTCTACCAACTATTCAAAACTATGCTTATTTGGCCAAACAGAAGTGTACTGAACCAGCTGATGATTTAACACAAGATGAATCAGCTGCTATTATGCTTTATTCAATGGGTTGGGAACCGCTTGATCAATGCTTGTATGTCGCCTTGAATGCAGTTCTACGGTCGGTAGATAGAGAAAATCTCAAGTCATGGCTTCTCTTTCTCAAACTTTTCATTAGTGCATTGTCTCGTCTTCCATCTATTCCACATCAAATTGTTTTTCGAGGGACGAAATTAGATTTGCACAAACACTATAAGAAAGGAAAAACAGTGGCATGGTGGGGTTTCTCATCATGTACTACTTCAAAACAAAGTTTAGAAGGCGAACAGATTTTGGGCAAAAAAGGTCCAAGAACAATATTCGCCATCGAATGTAATTCAGGAAAAGATATTCGAAAACATTGTTATTATTTATCAGAGGATGAAATACTTCTTCTAGCTGCGACTTTATTTAATGTTGTCGGATGCATTGATCATGGTTCTGGTCTACATGTAATTCAACTACAAGAAATTAAGCCACCGTTTCCTTTTTTGCAAGTGTTCCCACGTATATTTTTGGAAAAGAAAACAATTGCTTGTAAGTAATTAATCACTACAGTTTTCAAGTATTTTAGTTCATTCCACTTTAAAATACTTTCCTGTATTGCCCCTTTATTTACTTACAAATTTTAAATAA